TAAAGCTGACAGTCTGCAGTTAAGGCACATTGTGTTTGTTTCATTCCAAATCCATTGTGGGGGGGAATAGAGCCAAAGATGTTAGAATTGTGTCGATGTCCCAATATTTCTGGACCTGACTGTACTTGGACAGCAACTTTATAGGATTTAAGAACAGCACCAAGGGCCTAAATGCTACCACCTGTCAGCAATACCTGTGTTTTTTGTAGGCTAACAGGCCAGTCTCAGTGAAAAATATGTAGAATCAAATGTAAGATCACAACTTATATACAGAAACAAGTAGAAAATATTTCATTTTTAAACATTTCTACTATTAATCTGAAAGTTGGTATTTTTCAATGAAAGAATATCAAAAGGAGATGCTAATATAAGTTGTAGAATTACAGCACAAACCTATCAACTTTGCAAGTAATGTTATTGGGACCTCAACCCATAGATAATCTGATACTATGGCAGTACTTTAAGTATTGTGATCCTAAATTATTTAAGATTTTATACATTGACGTACTGAATGGAATCAGGTGTTATCAGTATCAGGGAATACTCTGCCTAATTCTTGCAAGCTACTTGTCTACTTTCTCTGGCTTTAATTGAAACTGAGCCCTCCAGTTCTGACTAAATGAATAAATGCAGAAGATACTGCATTATCTGCTACTTCTGATCTGGAGTTTACATGCATGACTTTACTCTCAAAGTACTTTGTCAATCTCTTTTGATAAGTTGGGCATGCTCCTAGATTTGAGCAGTCTTCTCTCCACTTGTAAAGATTCTGCAGAGGATACCTGGATGTTGGAGAAGTAAACTTTACTAACAAATAACAGAAATTATTATGTGCTTTATCTTGTGCCCAGTCATATTTGTCATAATGTTTATACCACTTATGCTAGCTATTTACTAAATTCCTTCATTGCCTGAAGCTCCCCCCAAACCCAGAGGGATTTCATATAGTATAATAGCAGTGAGTGCTCAGAAGCAATTGTGTTTGTGTTCCCTCTTAGCTTTCTTGGCCCTCAACAGAATCACTCGCCACATCATCTGGAAAATCTCCAGAGCATTCAGGAATATCTTAAGATTTCCTTAGGGTCTGGGTCAGATCACCCTAATGGATCCACTGCCTCTATAGGATTTAGGCTCAATCAACTCAAATCTCACTAGGGAATGATCTGTCAGTGACAATGGAGTATGTCACTTTACCCTCTCCCTGCCACCAGCATCTCACTCCCAATCTGTTCTGTCTTCCAAACCAAGTCAAAATGTGATCTATAATTCTTGTTGGGCCCATGTATATGAAAACAGTCCCATGGTGGTCACAATAGTAATGAAGTCTGAGCTGTTACTTAATGAGAAACAACAAGATGCTTGTTCTGTTTAATGGTCATCTGTGCTTTCACACACATGGGTTTGCTCCATGCAAAGAATTTTGGGAAACTAAGCTGAGCTTCTTGGCAGGACGCTGTTGCCCTCTCCATGTATATTTACAGTCCTTGGCTTTGCTAAATTCCTTCAGTTCCTAGATTTCCAGTGCTGCCGCATGCAATGAAGGAAGGGGTATCTGCAGTGGTGTAGGAGGATGGGTTCCGTGAATATAGAGATGATCAGTGAAAGAGCTACAGTTAAAGGAATGCAGTCTGTTGTTATTCATTATCAAACTTATGGTAGTTTTGTATAGCTTTAGGAGGAGGGCAGATTGCCATTATGTTAAAATAACAGCAAACTATAAGCATCTGCTCTGACTTGGATATCTAGCTGATAATGTTTCACAAACATGGAAGGTGTGGACAAACCAGCAATTCTACATATGTTGGGAAGAAGCACTCCTCAAGCAAATGCAGTCAGAAGTTGCTGTAGCTCTGGTGAAGTGACCATGAACAGCTGATGGAGCAGGTAAGTTTGTCAGCTGTTAACAAAATAGTGCAAGCAGCCAATAAGACAATAATTGCAAAGGGGCAGGTAAGAAATTCCTAAGAAGTAGCTTTTGAATCTTGATTTTTTTTTTACTTTGATGTTTTACTAGCTAACTTTGATGTTTTACGAGCTAGAGCAGAAATAGATCAACCATGTTTCAAAGGCAGCTGGGATTAATATTAGTTGATTCAAGAAAATGTGATCTCAGAATTGAAGATGATGACCTTGCTGGCAAGAGAGCAGTGCAAGCCTCCAATACTGACTGTAGTTTTGATATTTCAAGAGCTGCAGCCTTAGAGACCAATTTGAATCACTAGATTATTTGACTAGAAATGTTGTAGCCTTAGTGCGTGCTCCCAAAAAGAAGCTCTCAATTGGGACAATTGATTTTAGAATGCCCAGAAGGTAAGAGGCATACATTGTTGACAGTTTGGATAAATATTTGCTGTGTTCCCCTCTCCAAGACACAGTAAGGAATGGAAATAGCCATCTGTAGGGGAGATTTTATCTTGTATTTTGGAAAGAATGGATGAGAGTTAAGTGGCTTTTTCTAAGTAAGTACACATGCTGAGAAAAATAGAAACACTAGCGTAGGAGAATGAGAGAAGGTAAATGAATGGAAATAAAAATAAATGAAAATAAGCTTATCTGGAATCAGAAGAGAGGACACCTCTCTTAATTGTTGCCATAGCAGCAGTTAGAAAGGATCTAATGGAGTTTAGCCAAATACAGGGTGCAGAGCAAGAAGGAAGCAGCATTTTCACCAAAAGCTCAGCTGGGGAACATTCCAGAATGATGCTTTGTGCGGGCACAAACCCATGAGTGATGCACAGAGACGACAAAGAATAACCATTGTTTCTATTCAGGCTCAAAGGAATAGAATCGGACTTTTCAATAAACTTCAATTAACCCCCACTATACATTTTGGATTTCATTTAAATGTTCCTGATTTTTCTTCTACAAATTTGTGTGCGTGTGTGTGTGTATCACAATGAATTCTAGTTGTGAAGGCTTGTGTGCCCTTTAAGGTACTCAAGCCTCTTTATTTGTATTATTGTTTCTCACATTCCCTCAAGGAGCCTATGATGCACAGGTTCATGGTGGGATGTCTTTAACCCCACAATAGCCAGCCTGTGAGTTAGGTTGGATTGAGCAGGAATGATTCACCTAAACTAAAGTATGCAGGGAGTTCCATGCTCAAGCTGGAACTTGAATCTTTGTTTCTACAGTGTAAGTCCAGTATTTCCTCACTGTGCTCATTATCACTTGTTTTTCGGGATGCAAGATGATTTACAAGTTTTAATTGTATTTTCTTACATTCTGTAATGCTTAACAAAAACATGCAGTTGAAGATTTCTTAAGTACTATGTGTAGTCTGGAATAAATATATATGCAGAATATTTTTAAAAAGCAATCAAACCATAAATATCTCCATAAGAAAGGAGTTCCAGAGATAGGGAGCCAGTAGTGAGAAAGCCTTACCCTACCCAACAGCCTGAGAGTTCCAGCTCAACTGAGGTCATAGAAAGGTAGCCTTCTTCAAATAGAAGACCAAAATAAATACCTTGAATTGACCTTGGAAGGAAAGAGCCAAGGAAATGTGAGTACTTAAAGTGCAAGGGGCAAGCAGTGTGCCCCCCAAGAATACATCTTCTCCAGATCTCCCTCAGCTCCTGGCACCACAATTGTTGAGCAGTAGTGATTTTACAGGATCAGAAGTAGAATCTCTGGGTGTTAGAGATAAGCAACGAGTAACTATTGGCTACTGTTGCTCCCTTTCCTTTGTAGAAATAACATGCAAGAGAGGCCTGGAGATGAACCTTGGGTGGTTGTCCATCTTAGAACTGCACTTTGGGCGGCTTACTGGCTTACAGATTAAATGCAAAACTTCCGCAATTCTGATGCCCCCAGAGCATTACATGAGGTTTTAGAATTATTAGTCCTACAAAGAAATACACATGATCCTTTTCAGCTATATCCTATTCCATCTCTTATACAGGTTGAATGATCCCAAGATGTCTGAAGTAGAGCGTCAGTCAATGGAGAGTGAGCGGGCTGACCGCAGCCTGTTTGTTCAGGAGCTTCTACTGTCCACTTTGATGCGAGAAGAAAGCTCATCCTCTGATGAGGATGAACGTGGGGAGTTTGCCGATTTTGGTGCTATGGGCTGTGTAGATATTATGCCTCTAGATGTTGCTTTAGAAAATCTAAATTTAAAAGAGAGTAATAAAGGAAATGAGCCTCCTCCACCTCCTCTTTGATGACATCCCACTTCGCAGACAATGTCCTCTGTGCTGTATTTGCCAATGAAAGTGGACAACAACTATCTTGGGTTTGTTTTGGTGATTGTAATTTCAGGTCTGTCACTCTTGTTACATTGTGTACATTCAAAGGAAGAGAGAAAAAGATATATATGATAATCATTTCCACTTAAAATAATTTTTACTTCTAGCAGGTAAATGTAGGTTTCAGTGCAGAGGGGAATCCTCTGTGCTCTGTACTTTTGACATGCAAAAGGCTCTCCTAATACTCCACATTCAAACTGAAGAGGAAAAAAATGAAATCTCTAATGAAGCTGCTGTGTGTATTTATGAATATTAATGAATAAAAACTGCTTGGATGGTTTACCTTTACTGCATGAGGTTTTTTGCAGCGTGCATGAGTTTTAGTGACCTTGTCATTTAAAAACACTTTTAAATACAAGGAGTAAAACTACAAACAACTCCCTCCCCCAAAGCTTTCCTATTATTCAAAGGTTACAAGACAAAGACGTTAGTGCTCATTTAGTGACGTGTGACCATCAAGTAGCTTTTGAATAATGTATATCAGAACCACCTTTTTTCATGTGCTGTTGGCACATCATGCAGGCTCTGCAGTGGGACCGCTTGTTGTTTTTCAGGGTGTGGCATTTTGCTTGGTGTGTCCCTTAACGTTGCCCTCTTTAACCATCAGACTTACGTATGGAATAAATCAGCCTGGTTTTTATGCATCACGGGGAGACACAAAAGTCAGACCACTGCCAAGCTTGGCAACAGGGACTTTTGTGCACTCTTTAATCAGCATACTTGTTCAGCTTTGTTTAAAGGGTTTTTTTTCCTTCTTTTTATGGTTGTTTTTTTTTAAAAAAATTCAAACTGTTAACACATGTTTTGTTCAGGTGTAGATGGTTCATTTATTCACTGTCTTAAAGTAAAAGTTAACCTGGATGATATTGTCTTCGTTTTAAAACGTTCACAGTCTTGGTCATATGCTTAGTTATTTATGTATTTGCTTCCTAGTTGCAGAGACTTGTCAGTATCAGGAGAGCTTGAGATGATTCCCAGACTTTTGTCAATATATTGCAACTGCATTCTTAATGCTAATTCTAGCACCTTTTAATTTATTATTTCTTCATTTTTTTCTGGCATAAAACCTTTTTTTAAAAAGCCTTTTAATGGAATCATGCCACCTACATGCCTATACTATTAATCCTGTATGTATAAAATGTACAGTGTTTTGTGCATAGACTTTCATAATAGCCCCAAGGCAGGGACAGGTGGGGGTATTGTGGTTTGGGAGGGGGGAGGGTGGGATGGTGGGAAAGGGAATGTAAAGTTAGACAATAAAGACAAAATTGCACACCACTTCTGGTTAAATCTAAACTAGGCTTAGACCACAATCATGTTTCTGCCTGGTTCTCTCACGTTCTTCACCCCTCTTTTGCCTGTATATTCTTCCACTTCTGCCACGTTACAAGCTGTTTAGAATAAAAAATCCATATTCAAATAGCAGGATAGAGTCTTGACATGGATGCTACTCTAAAATGGTAAAATCTATTGACAGCTGTCAGTTTTGACTCCAATTATTTCTTTATAAAATACAGTACTAGATTTGTTTTTCTCTTTACTCTTTGAAATTGAATGTTCTACGGGGGGAATTCTATAGCAGCCCTCTGGTTAACTTGGGTGTTTAACCCAGTAGGGTTTTTTTTTAAAAAAACTGTTGAGGATTTTAAAAACCAGTTTTCAAGCTGTAGTCTTTTCAAACACACCTGCACATTACAGTAAGACCCACAGTTCAATAAAGCATTTTCAAGACTGTTTGTTCAGTTGATTCTTTGATGTTGCTGTGTTATCGAAACAAATTCATTCCAGGCAGGTCTCTGCAGTGATGCTTTAATGAGGCTTCACACACCTTCATTTTAACCTTTGGTCACAGATTGGAAAATACATAATTAAAAAAGACTACACAATTCGTTGAAGCTCGCTTGCTGACTTATGGAGGATGTTTTTAACCACAAATGCTTCATTATTTTTTTGTCACCAGGTACACTGAAGCTAGGATGCTACATTAACACCATATGCTCATTTAAGGTGTTTCTAAGTTGTAGGAACTTAAATGGTCAGAGGCTTTCAGTGTTTAGGGGCTTTTAGTTAGTATCTTGTTTTGGAATACTGTCAAAAGCAGTTTCTTAAAACGAGTGAAATGGGGGCAATAAAAGCCTCACAGAAGTAGCATAAAATTGGGACTTATGGTGGGAAATCTTGGAATACCAAGCAAAGGCCTTAAGTGTCAACCCAAGGTAACTCTCCCCAAGGAGCATTTCCAGAAATGAGCTATACTTAAAAAGCCATCAGTTAGTATTGTCTAACTTCAAATCAAGAATGGGCAGATTCATGTCACTAATGGTATCTACTCTAAAATTAACTGGATGCTCTTCTGATTTGAATTGACTGAAAGAGCCATTCAACCAATTATAGAATGTTATAAGGCACAAAAGATCTTACTGACTTTATCAGGTTGGTTATTAGGTTTTTTTAATTGTAGTTTGCTATGCAGAAATTGGACAAAAGTGAAATTCTCATATTGAAAAGATGTGAAAAAGCCCGGCTGCTCACTTTTAATTAGCAGGAATATATTGAATTTCACACTTCCTTAGGTTATATACTGGGTCTGTGGTTACTTCAGCTATCCATTGCTACCATGAATGGCACCTATTTTTTACAGTTCTGTACAATACTAATGTCTGATGCCTCATTTCAGACACTTCTGATATTTGACAGTTAAAATATTTAACCGATTTAAAATCTTACACAGAGCAAGGCTGTCAAAATTACTGACTTTTCATAGTTTAGTTATACATACATTGCTTTTACCTGTGTGAGGGTAGCCTTAGGACCCTGGATTACTTTTTAAGATAGATTTTATTTACAAAATGGTTCAGAAATGTTGCTCATCTGCATAAGAGAAAATCTAGTAATTCAAGTTAAAAGACCTATTTTTTAAATTTATCTTCATTTAATGCAAGTAGTCATTTCCTCTTAGCAGCTTCGATTTTGAGCTTATTGGCCCAAGAGAGGTCATATGTGAATTAAGCTCCTTGCACATGGTGGGTTTCAACAGTCACAACCAGACAAGTTTGTTTTGTTTTTTCCAGCAGCAGCAGCAGCAGCATCTCACAAAAGCAACATCTGTCTATCTTTGGATGACTTCTGTATATGGAAAGTAGAGAAAAATCTTACCTAGAGTTTGTGATTGTATAGTGCTGTCTCAATAATTTAGATCAATTGTTTTTAAAGATGTAAAATGGGGGCGTTAGCTACCACAATAGCTTTGCATCTCCAAAGTTCCATTAAGATTGTTTGTGTTACATTTATGTCCTGCCTTTCATTCAAGAGTGCAAGCTGGTTGCATATAGCCTTTCCTGCTATTTTCCCCTATTAATCCTATGAGGTAGAGTAACTGGCCCTAAGTCAACCATTACAAAGCAACATGAATAAAACTTGACGTTGCCTTGGTTAATGTAGAAAAGTGCAGAGACCATTTACAAAGATAAGGCCATTTTAATTTGTCATAATTTTATGTATTTGCCATCCACATTTGGAAAGACAATTTCAAATAGAATGAATTTAGTAAGAGACATTAATCCAAAATTAGGCTGTGAAATAGCACACGTTTCCCCTAAAAGTAATTTCATGGGACATAGCTTGGATGTTTACTAGAGGGTTTTAAAAATGGGTTTTGCACTGTTCTTTAGAACTTTGCCTAGCATGCAGAATATTTTCCTAATTTCATATTGGCTCCAAGTTGGTAGCTTGCCTGGTTTGCTCTTATCTGTGCTTTCAATTAGGAGCACATAACACTGTATTGTAAACATGTTCAAATCTTAATTCTTCATTTCTGCCCTAAGCTGCTTTTCAAACAGCTTCTGTCTCTTGTGATGAGGATGGTAGTGGCTTCAAGTCTTGTACCCAAGGAACAGATAATCTGCATCAGTTTTGGACATCTTTAAGGGTAGGATTAAGCCTCTGAAGTTACAAACCTGGGTTATGAAACTATAAAAGGAGGTTTCTGGCTAAGGACCACACTTTATGTAATGCACCGGTGATGTACCCCAAAGAGTAGGTCCCGTCAGAAAAAAAGCACGGGTTACTATTTATTTAAATTTCTCCCTTTTTTCACATTAAAGCTTAACGTTTGGCAGTACTTTTTAGATAGGATTCAACAGTGCCCCAGGGCCACTGGCTCTGCATTTCAAACAATTAATTAAAGCAAGATAAAAATGTAGCAAAATTATAAATATATATACCAGCCAAGAAAAACCAACAGCGATTAACCATAATGTGGGCTGGACCACATATCCAGGGCTCTAGGCTCAACAACAAAACCGGGTTTTCAAGACCTTACAAAAGGCCCTCTTCCTGGGTTCTGCCAGATACTGTCACAGCTGGGACCAGATTATGCCTCTCCTGCCAGATCTAACAGGACAGGTGGTTGCAGCTGACAACCCAGCCCCAAGCCACATAGACCTTTAAAGGTAATCACCAGCACTTTGAATTGAATTCGGAGGCATACTGGCAAACAATGCAGCTCCCAGAGCAAAGGTGTCACATGTGAATGACAGGCACCCATAACACCCATTTTGTACCTGCTGAAGCTTCCAAATACTCTTCAAAGGCAGCCCCATGTAGTGTGTTGCAGTAGTCTAATTGAGAGGTGACCAAGATATGAGTGACTAAGCAGAGCCTTCTGGTTCAGGAATCAGTGCAGCTGGTGCACAACAGATAGCTTTGCAACCCCATTCAGGATTCAAAATGGAAGGTCCCCATAGCTAGGGGGTCCTAAAACCCAGAACACTCCATTTTGCTTGGGTTGAGTTGAAGTCTGTTGCTCCCTATCAGACACTCCACAGCTTCCTGACACCAAGATGAGACCTCCATGGCATTGTTCAAACAGCCCAGTGTGGAGATATAAAGCTGTCATCCACATGCTGATAATACCTCATCCTGAATCAACAGATAACCTCACCCAGCGGCTTCATGTTGATGTTAAACAGGAAATGAGAGAATACAAAGCCTTGGGGCACCCCACAAAGCAGGGGCTGTGGGCGAGGCATTCCTCCTCTATCAACACCAACTGGAACCAGCCCCAGAGGGAAAAGAACCAACATAGTGCCACCCATCCCCAACACTGGTCCAGAAGGCTACTGTGATGGATGGCATTGAAAGCAGCTAAGAGGTCAGAAAGAGCAGCAGATTATCAACTACCAGAGGTCATCCCAAAAAGCAGTCAGTGCCATCTCATTCCCATACCCAGGCCTAAATCCTGACTGAAAGAAGTCCAAATAATCTGCTTCCTGTATTCTATCAGGTGTCCAGCTTTGTTGGAACAAAGTGCTTTTAAACAAAGTGCCTCTAAGCATGACATGGATTTGCATTGGGAATTTTATGACTTGATAAGAAGGGAGATGGAGTGAACAGTTAAATAAAAATTTAGTTTTGTAAATTATGTGTGACCACCATAAACATTTTAAAACTTCCCCCATGTTTGGCAATTGGATTAAACCTGTATATGGTGGGTTGTGCGAATCAGCTCTGCTTCAATTCAGATTGGAAATTTGAAGAAGGTATGGTTTGAGATTGAAATTCAAAGTTTAATAGCAACCTGATTCAAATTGCTCTGAGATTCAAGATTTGATTTTAAAGATTCTATCCATCGCTGTAATGGAAATAAAGCCCAAAGGTGCAGAATGTGATGAGAACAGCAGGAGTGCTAGACCCTTAAGCACTACAAAGTTTCAGTTGGATAATTTCAAGGGTGTTTCTAGCCTCCCAAAATTAAAATATTCCTATATATCTGTTAGGGCATCAATAGGAGAGATGAAGAAAGGACAGCGTAACAGCCTCCAAATTGTCTTGCAAAGAGCCCATTTGATGGGTGTCCTGGGGTGTAGGAGGTCTAATCTAACTCCTCAATGGCCTTGAGAGTGCCCAGTTGAACAGGTAATGTTGGCAAAATGTTACCTCTTCTGGACAAGACTGAAACTTCACTCGCCCTTCTCTATCAGTACCGACTGGAACCAGCCCCAAAGAAAGGAAGAGACCTAGCACAACATAGTGCCACCCACCCCCAACGCTGCTCCAGAAGCCTACCATGATGGATGGCATCGAAAGGAGCTAAGAGATCAGAAAGAGCAAGCGCAGATATACCAACCACCAGAGGTCATCCAAAGACAGTTTTGCTGCCTCTGCTTATTAGGTTTTCTAGGCTGTCATAGTTTGGTTGGCAAGTTTGGCCCCCTTGTCACTGCCAGGAATCGGTTACATCACAGTTGCTATATTCAGTGTTAGGAAAGGCAACAGAAGCAGGGTGGCACAATGAGATATATTGTCAGAGATAGGCAAGCTACAGAGCAAGGCATTTGTTGTCTTGGCACCCATTCCTGTCTTTACAGTAATAAAACACTGAGTCAGTATCTTTTAAGGGTCAGTTCTGCACCCTTTCATTGTGAGGAAACGTCAACCTGCCCTAACTGCAGCACGTAATGGTAGGGCCAGCCTTGAGGCATATTGAGAATGCTGAGAGCACATTGTGTTGGCAGGATCAGCATGGAAGCATTCGATTCCATTAACAGAAGAGAGCAAGGCTTATGGCAGGCCACTTTGAAGGTAGCCGAGAAAGTGAGTGAAGCCCAAAGCTTTGCCACCCCAAAAGAGTATATCACTGGCTTCCATCTACTGCCTACAAGACTTCCATTCTCTGCTGTTATAATAGCTGGGGAGTCCTGGGAATGTTACGAACACACCTGCACCAAACCAATTAGAAATCCTAGGTAATATAAAGGCCCAGTGTTCACGGTCACTCGTTTTTTTGCTTCTCCCTGAAAAGAGAATGTTTCTTCGTCATTTTTGTTTTAAGAAATCTGCTTTAATTCCTACAAGACCCCCTGTGAGTAGGCTTCAAGTTCCTGTACATAAGTTCTGAGGGTTGTTTTTATTCACTACAACATCAGCCCTTAATGTGGATCCAAGAACAACTTCTGATACCGTACACAGGGTGGCATATTTGATAGTGTTGGACTTAACCAAAGCAGATCGGGATACAAATTCTGTATTTGAAACTAAGCAGTTCTGGACAAATGGCTGTCTCAATGTCCTCAGAGAACTCCTCTGAAGAAAAATAGGAAAGGGTCTTTAGAAGACTGCTAGTTGTGACATGATAAATGGTCTCCTGTAATAAAAAGCATCACACATTTTATAGAAGCCTTTATTTACAACTTGTTTAACAACTGTACACTGGTTTTGTAGCCTTGGAAGCATGTTCCGGACCAAGGGGAAACGTCCTGATTTCCTCCCCCACAAAAGATATATGAACTGATAACCATTATTATCTTGTTTATCTATATACAGATAGGTTTTAAAATCACTACAATGGCAGTATGGTAAGAAATCATAGTTTGGGGAAATTAATATCTAGTAATCCTGGAAATTTATTCTTACAGAAAAAAATACATATCATTGGCAATGTGACAAACAAGTAATTTTGGTAGCTCAGGACAGTCAAACAAGTTGTTATTGAAATATACAGTCACGGATAGGTTGAACACATGCTTAGGATCTCAGAAAGTGGCAGCTGCATCATGATACTAATGCTAAAGAAAGTCCAAATCATTGTAAGCAGACAGGCAACGTTGCCTAATGGAGGTTAAAAGCAAAATTTATATTATTTTCCCTTATCTGGGGGTCTAAATGGTTTTGTAAGAGGAAAAAAATAAAAATGTAGGCATGATACAAAAAAGCTCCCAACCCCAAGCATGTATTTTAAGATCAGGCCAAAACACCAAGCAACTCACCAAACAACTATAAAGCACGTCCTTCCAAGGAGCTAATACAGGACAGACAAGAATATGCAGGGGAGCCAAGATAGCAGGATATATTGTTTTGTAATTTGGTGGGTATCTGAATAAGGAAGGCCACTCTATTGTGAGACAATGGTGATCTCATTTTGATGGCACTACTACCAAAACAACGCAGAAGACTGACAATGTTGAAAGCCAAATTTCCAGAACTGACTACTCAACCGCCAGGTCCAGCCAAGCATCTTTTCCTAGTATCGTCTATGTACCTGCAACAACTCAGTTATTCCAGCAGTAAACTTTCTCTGGAAGAAAAATCTTAAGTGCTGTCAGTTACAGCCCCCCAAATGAATCAACACAACCATGAACTGACTCCACTTTACAGTCTGAAGTTGCAGGAGGACAAACACTCCAGTTTGGCCTCACTTTCCCACACCGGCCCCTTACTGTTGAGCCACGATGGGGTATTAAATTTTGCCCCAGTCTGGCTGGTAAATAGGGCTAGCCAGAGCTACCCATACTACTCAGAACTGGTTTTACTCCTCCTTATCTATGACCCTGAATGACAATCTAGGACACAATCAATTAATCTAAAATGGCAAGTGACTGGAACTGCCAGTGATCTCTCTTCACCCATATTCCAAGCCCCCCATTCTATGTTTTGCATCTCTATACCTTTCCCCCTGCGGCTGGAAGGACCATATCAAGTTTCACAACAGAAACAGTCTCCTATTTAAACCCTCAATACTAAGCCCTCCTTCATATTCACTTGAATATGTAGGCAGATAATTTCTTATGGCTTAAAAATAGAAGCCAGCAGCTGGGGGACTCAAGGACAAATCCTACCTCCCAAATAACTTCAATTGAAAACCATGATGTTGATCAAATTGTAAACATATTACAGATGCAGTTGCTCCTGTTATGAGGCTTAACGGGAGTGAGGCTGACTTACTACCTTCCATCTCCTCAAAGCGATTCTCCCATAAAACTGACCAACTCTTTAAAAAGCTTCATCTCCACCGGTGAGATGGTAAACTTAACAGCAGTGATACAAACATAATCACTAAACAATATTCCCTCAGTTTTTCTCCTATAGTGCCACATTTCCTACATCTGCCTCAATATAAAGTGAAATCTACAGCAGAACAAGCAGATACTTACAAGAATGTGAAAAAGCAGCTTTAAATTTTTTAAAGGCAGCACAATGCATTCCGACTGTCAACATAGTCTACATGAATAACAGCAATATTTCATAACAAAAAGAAAGACACGTTAGTGCAATCCAAAGGGAAGTTAACACAGATGAAGGACAGAGATCTCAAGATAAATACAGTCAACCCAAAGAACAATCAAAGAAAGTTCTCTCATATAACACTGAAATGCAGGAAAGGCACACCTTTTTTTTTAATGTTCCTGCTCTCTACATTCCTTTCCAGAGCTGCTTGTGCATGTATAAACGGACAGAAAAAAAGGAAGGGTACAAGTCTGCTGAGGAAGATGCATAAAAATAAAGGATGTATATGTCTTAAGACAGTATGCAGCCTCAGTACATACAATATTGCATATATTGAGGGTCAAGGCTTGAGTTTTAAATTAAAAGCTGGAAGGGAACAGGCAACCCTTCCTATCCATTTTCTCCAACAACAACAAAAAAAATCTTCTGGTATATATAGTACTGAACATTAGTGCACTTTTAAAATCATACTAGTAAATAAAGGTGCATTTATAAAACATACTTAAGTTTAAATGTGTATATTGCAAGAGGTTTGTATGTTAATACTGTTAACAGGAAGAACGGAAGTGTGTGAATAGCAGTGCCAATGAACGCTAACATATTGTGTGGTAAAGGAGCTTGGCCATCTACCCAACATCTTTTTTTTCCTAGAGCTTCAGTGTCTTGCTAGGTGGGAAAGTGGGAGATGATGTGGTTATGTCTCCAGATAATTAATTCTCTTTGCAAATCAACTCCACTCTTCAAAAAACAGATGCCCAGAAATGATATGCTATTTGATATGAACTAATGAAAAATTCAGCTAACTTAGGCCAGACTGGGGGAAAAAAAAGGCAAGGAATGTATGGAACAGCCCTTATTTTCTAAGCAATTTAGCAAATACAAGTTTTGGGAGGATCATTACTAAATAGCTGGCTTTAGATGAGGAAATATAAATTAATAATACCAGTGAATACATCAAGATGTGAGGATATCTTTGCAAAATGAGTCTACAGAATTTATTTCCCCTCAAAAAATCCACAAGACTCTGACCATTTGGGCATATCTGTATTAGACAGTATATCAAAAGACAGAAAGAAAGGAAATTCTATCTAGTACTGTACTTCCCTGCCTGGTTGCATATATGAGCTCACAGGCTATTATAGAGGTGACTTTACCAAAGTCTGTCAGCATATAATACCTGGCTTTTTAATATGTCAAAAATAATTTAAAACAGTAGAACATTAGAAATAGTTAAACCGCTTTGCACAAAAACTTTATACAGCTTCTCTCATGTTGTGCCTCCGATAGGCTTGATGTTAACAAATCTGCTTTTCCCTGATCGCACTCGGTTTTCTAATTGCCCAAATAAATGTCTTCTGAAAATCCAGCTCAAACTGAGCAATTACTTGAGAAAAAAAATAATGCTGAACTAATTGGGTATATTTTCATACACAAAAATAGTTCATCTTGAATTATATTCCAACTTTGGACTTTCAGAATCCAAAACTGAAAGTTTAATTAGACTTCTAGCCAGAAAGGCAGCTTTAGACATCACCAGCTGCAGAGGAGGCCAAGACTACCACGTAGATGGCCTGAAGCTCATTACAGGATAAAGACTTCTGTAACATTTATGCAAAATCAGGTTGAAAGAGAGTCTCCTAGCTAAGAAGCAATGCCTCCCATCTGTAAAACAAGAATAATGGAGCTGAGTAACCCATTTACTTGTCAATGCTTTTCATAACGAAGCAGCAGCATATTTCCACCCATGTAAATTCAGCTGAATTGTATGGTAAAGAATTCATATCAGACATTACTTCCCCAGAAATATGGCCAATGTTCATTGTGCTCATAACCCAATGCAAAATAAAATATGTCCCTCCAATGTATTTTAATGGCTAGAGTAGAGAGGGTTTTTCTCAACCTGATAAGCCTATCCTAAAGATACATTCAAGAATGCAACAGGAAATATTAAATATTTGGCGTGCTAGCAAGTTACCAGCATTCATTTCCCATATTTCCTTAAGTTTCTAATATCTAATTGGAATTAAGTTGTAACTGATATTTAATACATTAAAGATCATAATTAATAGGAAAAAAATACAACAAACAGTTATATTTACCCATGTCCTGTTTAGGAGACATACAAACATGAAAGAAAAAAAACCTATGAAAAAAAAAAAAAGCCTAATGATAAAGTTTTTTACAGTGGTGTAACAAAATAGCATCCAACCTTTAACACAACTCTATCAGAGATTTTTTGAAACCCTTTTTAAAAACCACTTTGATGTTGCAAATGGGAAGTAGTATAAGAAATGTTTCCAATAAAAAATAAATGTGTAGAGTAGTTTGAAGGTCCTACGTGATTTTTTTCTTTAAATTATCTTCACCAGAAAGCCTGCGTATGGCAACAGGTCACACTGATCCTGAATTCAACGAAGTCAGCCATATCTGACGCCTCCGGAAATTAAGGATACTTATTTAGCTGCAATTGTTTCAATAGGAAATACCGGCAACTAATTTTCTTTGGATTTCTTGATATTTGCCTTTCATTTTTTAACTTACAAAAAACGCATGCTCTATTCTCTGGACATCAAAATCAATGCAATATTTAAATTACAAAGCCCTGACATTTCAAAACTTAGACTTCGTAACAGGCATACCTCTCACTTCTGTGTAAGTATGAAGTGAACCAGCCAGACTAGGGAAATAAAAACAAGATGTTTTGATGAAAGGTGAAGAACACAGAAGAATGATAAAAAGATGAAATAAAGTTGATTAAAAACCTCAATAAAAACTAGTCAGAAAGGAGAGCTAGTAAAGAGACTGAAAGTTGAAAAAGAAGAGAAAGTAGATCTGACTGTGAAATGAAAACTACATTCAAGTTTCTTTCAGGCAAGACTAAATAATCAGGTTTCATCAGATTACCATAATAGTTAGCAGAAAAAACATCTCAGACATGGGTTTTGCTCTACTTTTGCATACAAAAACACAGAATTAGCCAATTAAGAATGTTAGACCTTCTATATAACTTGAACAAGTCAACTCTTGAAAGAGCAAGTACAGGCTTTACCAAAACAGGTTTGTTCAACATTAAAATTTGATTTTTTGCATGCAGTATACCATTTCATAATCAATCCATCAGCACAAAAGGACATGATGACTACCTAATAAATTTTGCTTATAGGTGCACATGTAAACACCTACCAATTTACCAAGGGAATTGATTTTTAAATGATTTTTCTGCAGATGGAATAACATCTGGCCTACTTTACCAAATATTAGAACCATACTACAGAAGGACCAATGGCATCATGTTTTATTTTTATCACTTTTCTTTACATGAGTGGATTTTAAAAACTCCTTTCACGTGCTGAGATGGTGATGAATAAAAACAAGCGTTTTTAATTAAGAAAATTATTGTGCACTGTACAAATGTACTAACAAAAATGAGGGGAACAATATCCATACCTAAATAAATATGGTGTTTAAAATCCAGATCCATTCATTCCAAAGTGAAAAACAGGTTCTTGCCTTACCTTTGACCCAAAAGGCAAGGCTCTTGAAACATTCTTAAGAAGTCAACATAAGCTATATTTAGAAAAACATAAAGCAAAAGAATCTCTCTACTATGTCTTTAACAAAACCTCTGTCCGTATGGAACTATTTAACTTGAGTTAATCCCAAACATTAATTTGAGAAGCGTGTGATAGCTCAACATCTAGAATTCACAACTTGCAGGATCAGAGAAATACTAGCCTTGCTTCTGACAGATTCGTAACTGCACAGGCATGAAATACCACTTTGCACAAAAGGTTAGCATGTTTACATATCAGAATTATCTTGACTACCTGAAGACTTCAGTGCCAATGGCAAATGGATTTATCCTTCTTACTGACCTATCAAAAACACTCCTCAGTAATGGAGGGAAATTTTTTAAAGCAGCAGTCATTAATGGCATTTAAACAATCAACCAGATAAAGCCAAAAGAAACAAAGTAACAGCAGCATAAGATAATTTCATGAATTCGTCTCACCAGGTTCTTGCAACTTCTACCAGCATGTCTGTCTATCTTTGCAAGTAATGTTTCACATCTTTCTATGTAGCACTGTTGCAAATTACATTACCCATTTCAAACAGATCAAACTAGTGTGAAAAAGAAAAGAAGCATATATCTTTCAAGACACTGGTAGCCTTGGAAAGAATGCAATACCATTTACCAACAGGACATGTTAAATTTGTTTTCATCCATTATTGGATTTTTGTTAAGAGATGACAATTGCATGTGAAAAAGGGAATGGGAAAATTCCATTAATACACTCCATTAGTTGTTTTTCAACATTTTGGCACATTAAAAGGCAAAAGGAAGACTCCAGAAAAGAAGAAATCAGAAAGTTTTAAAAAAAAGTTCTCTTCTGGACATGAGACATGAAGAGACAACAATACTGAAAGAATGCTGGCTAAGTTTTCCTGAACTACTGTCACTTATAACAGAAGTAAGTCTCGATTCCAGGATGGCTTCCATTCAAAAGGCAAGGCAAGGTCTCTCTCTACCTTGCTGTGGCTGGTTGGACATGGCCTGAATAAGCTCTTCTTGTGCTGGTGGCCTGCCTTTGTCTAGCTAGGAAGGATTGTCCTGAACCAGTACTAGCAAGTCTGTCTTCTACTGCTTTTTTATGAAGTGTCATCCCCTATAGAGAGAAAGAGATGGAAAAAAAAGGCATTTAGTTTGTTTTATCATGGCAAGTTGAGTAGGTTGCATCATTTCTTTTCCAAACCTATAAGTCACTCCACTGAACTTTTTCCAGTAAAATCCAGACTTTGTTGGATTAAGCTGATTGTCTAGATACATTTCATACCATCTTCATTCCACTTCCAGAAGAGAAGCGTCCTTAAGTCAAAACAGAGACAAGGAAATACAGACCTACTGGTTCTCTTGAGAGTTCTGTATATCAATCATGGTCCTTTCCGATTTACTTCTGAACTGGGTGCCCTCTTACAATGGTTCTCTTTGGTTGCTTCCAAACATGGAGCTCTGTTCTGAGGCAATTGTGTCACAAGTTCTTTAGTGTTCATTTTCATTTTCCATGCCAACTAAGCAAAACTGCTGGGGAGGCAGTTACACAGAATGCAGGCTGAACTGCCATCAATATGCAGAAAATACCTTGCTTTACCATTCCTTTCCATCTATATCAGGCGAGCTAGTGGATGTCCTGAATCAATGCCTAAATGAGCTGGATGAGGCTATAAACTGGAACATAATCCAGATGAATGGAGATGTGGGGATCCTCTGTGCCGCTTAGTAGTGTCCAATCACTTCTCGAGAGGGCTGCATTGTCCTTGACAGATCAGGCACGTAGTTTGGAAGCCTTCTTGGGTCCATTTAACTGACAATACTGGTACTTAGGAAGACCTTTTTTCAGTTCAGGAAATAAAACTGCAGCCAGGTGAACCACAGTTTTACTTGCTAAGATACCTCCCAGCTGGATTACTGAAATGCATGATATATGGTGTTTCCTTCGAGAAGGACTGGAAAATTCAGTTTGTCCAAACAAGAGTTGTCAAGTTATGAATGGAATGGTTGGCATAATCCTGTAATGCTAGCTCAAGGTGTGGCTGCTAACCTTAACAGCACTGAATGGCTTGGGGCAGAATATCTAAAGGAACATACTATATTATCCTCTTACTATGTGCCTGGGCACTTCCTCCAGGTATCCTCATCAAATGAATTTAGGTCAAATATGGTGCCCTGTATCTGTAATGTCTTCCCAAAGGTAATTCATCTGGCACCTATTTTGTTCAACCATTCCTCTTCTCCCAGATATTTTAGTTTTGAAGTGTTAAATACTTTATTATACTGGGATAGTAATTTTTATATTTTTAAATTATATTTTCCTGTGCTATTTCTTGATTCTTCTATAGTCTTATCCTTTGGTCCAACATCACCACTACGCCTGCTTCCTTCTGATCAACGGAGGCAACCTTTAATTGTACCTCGAAATCCCAAAATAACTGTTTTCTTATTTGTATTTGCCTACTAACTGAATACATTTCACCTACCAATCAATCATAATCATTATCCATTTTTGTTGAACCCTAATTTGATTCAGGTAGTCTGATTCTGAGTAAGTTAGTTTTTGGGAAACTGAACAGAGTTTTGAAAAACTAAGTCCGTAAAGGCAAACACCCCAAAACCAATTCCCCATAACGTTTTGTTTGGGTGCCAACATAAGCACTCCTTGAGGCTGGGCTGAAGCAGAAAAAGATATCCTTAGAAACTGAACATTATAAAGGGAACAATGTTCTTCAAACTATTAAGATATCAGGGGACACATTACCTTTGAAATCTGAATGTTAATCTTGTTCAGAAAAACATACTACACAAGTCAGTTCATTAAACTTTGCTGATACTCATATTGTGTAACCTGAAGTCTACTTACCATATTGTACCAGGCACTGACGATGTATCTCTCCTCCATATCTCTTTGACTCTTTGTCTTTTCATATTCTTTCTAATGGGAAAAAAATAGTATTTCTGATGATTTCACATGCATGCTACAATACCATATACAGTGCTCAAGTGTTCAAGTGCATATATTTATTTCTATTGTGTGGAATGGTGGCAACTGTGGAATCTGTGACAACAAGAACATTTAAATTACTGATGAAATTGTATATGGTAACTTGTTTTTATTATAAAGCTCATATTTCAAATTAAGAGCCTAGAATGAAAAACATGATGGTTGCCTTTCATGTGCTTAATATAATTGCCAAGAAGACTCAATTGTGTTTTTATTTGAGATAAGACCTTATGATTTTGAACGGGACCTAATTCGGTTTAAATATGCACAGGATTTCACAGGAAATTACCTCCAAAGAATGGAACATCCTCTCACGTTCCTGCAGTTGATTCTTCAATGCTTGAATTTCAGGTGCTGAACCTTGGTTCTGTTTGGGATCTAAAGTACGGATGACCTGCAAGAGCAAGAATCACATGCTAAGCAGGTAACTCCAAATAGGACACCCAGGAAGCTGAGTATTATTCATCTAGTCCAGAATCATCTGCTTTGACTGGCAGCACCTCTCCAGGGTCTTGGACAGGAAAAGGTCTAAGCAGGTGACTGTCAGATTGAAACTAAGATCTTGTGCATGCAAAAGTTGTGTTACAATACTGAGACAGTGTATCTCTGGCAAGTTATTTAGAATTGCTAAAGGGTTAGGGTTAGGGTTACAAAAAAGTTTACAGAGCCTACAACATATTCAGAAATATATAAACTTCAGCTTCATAGGAATTATGAACAGCATAAGCATTCTTCCACAAGGTTCAACTGGTTTAATTTTACCGAAAATACCAATTTTAAATACTTGGAGACATGTGAAGAACCCAGCCTAAATCTCTCTTCCTAGTATTTTGCATGTATGTATATGAATATGCATTAGGAGGAGAAAGACAAGGGAAGGTAGGAGTGGAAATGAGAAGAAATTAGCTTCCAAAGAATGTGAGCTTGAAACTCTTTTTTCATGAAAAGGGAAATAACAACAACAATATAAAAATCCATCTAGTTTAGTAGTCAGGTAGAATTTGTTATTTAGAAAAAAATTCTCTAGTGGTTAAGGTGCTGGACTAGAAATTGGGAGACTATGAGCTGTAGTCCTCCCTGGGTGGGAGAAGCTGGCTGGGTGACTTTGGGCTAGTCACTTTCTCTCAGTCCAACTCACCTCACAGGGTGGTGGCTGTGGGGAAACTAGGAGGCAGGAGCATTATCTACACCACCTTGAGTTGCACAAAATAAAGTTGGAATACAAACCAAACAAACTCCTCTGCGACTGACGTACAGGTAAGTCCCCAGTTTAAGAATGAGTTCCATTCCCAAGGTCTGTCCTTAAGTTGAATTTGTATGTATGCCAGAACAG